AGGAACAATATGGTAAGGAGGTACAGCTTCGAGAAAAATTTTGCCTCGTTGCTGAGTAACAGAAGGGACTGGGAGTGTGACTTTTCAGATCGCCCAGTGGGAACACATTTTATTAGATAGTACGTAGATGGGCCAAAGACCAGTATTGGGACGAGTGTGGGGGTACTTGGGAAAAGGACTAAATTCTCCGAACCTATGGGAACTTTTCCGAGTGTATTTCGGGCTGAGTTGCACGTCATTGAAATGTGCGTGCGGTTCAGCTTGGAAAGAGGATATCGGGAACAGGAGATAATGATTATGTCGGATAGCCGGGCTGCGATCGGAACGCTGAACTTGTTTTCATTATGCTCCGCGGCAGTATGAGGCTGTCTTGAGAAGCTCAATGAGTTAGGCAGATGTAACCGGGTCACACTGTGTTGGGTGCCGGGCCATGTGGACGTGGAAGGAAATGAGGCCGCAGATGCGCTTACGAGGAAGGGGACAAACACACCTCTTCTTGGGCCGGAACCCTTCTGCGGGATCGAACCATATACTATTCGTTGGGAATTAAGGAAAGAATCAGAAAGAAGGCGGTCGGAGCGCTGGAGAAGTCTTCCGGGGCTGCGGCAAGCCAAAGAGCTCCTGGGAGATTATGACCAGAAGCGATTTAAGAAAATTATTGGGATGGGCAAGAACCAGGTGAGAGTCACCTGGTATCACCGGCATTTTGACGGGTCACTGCAGGCTTAGGGGACACCTCGGTCGGCTGAGCCTGGAAAATGAGGATGCTTGCAGATTCTGTGGGGAGTATGGAGGATCTATTGTGCGCCCCCACCCGAGTGCACAATAGATCCTTATACGTGGTCGCCCCCGTTGCACAAATCTACAATCTATAATGGATAAAATAAAATCACTTGTGAATCATTTATATTTAAAAATTATTCCAACATGGCAATGCAATTAAAATTAATCCATTTTTCATCTCTAATTAGTCTTAAAAGTGAATGAAAACTTTAATTTCGCTTTAAGGTTTAAAATTTTTAACACATTTAAGTAGTCGCTTTCTAACTTCGAAATGTGTTTCAATTTCTTTTTCCCTAAACGATTTCCTGTTTTTTTTCTTTCCTTTATAAAATTATCCTTTTTAAATTGAAAATTTTCTCTTTAAAGGAATCTAAAGTTAACACGGAAATTGCAATAAATTTTTTCCTTAAAGTTGTTTTTCAATCAATTTCATGAATTTTTATCTTTGATTTCGTGCCGTATAAACTCTACTTCATTAAAAATTTTCAATAGATGGAAAAAGATTAAAAAGGAGGAAAATAAAAAAATGCATTCATAAAAGTTTTAAGTTTTGTAGCAATTGATAATTAATTGATTTATTAAGAAATTTTGTGCTAAATTTAGCATAATTGGCAAATGAAAGTGAAAAATATTATAGAAATTTTCGAAGTTTCATCTCCGATTACTTGACTCATACTCCGCAACGGTCAATTATTAATTGGCGTAAATTAGCAGTTAGCTCTATTGAAAACAAAGTATTTTATCCTCTTCTATCCGACAGCAATGTAATGTGACAACACTGGCTCAGTTTCAGTGCTTTGTTTAATTGTTTATAAGCAAAAATTAAGATAGTCTTCCGACTTATTACTATAAATTTTATTTTAAAATTTTAAACCCAATATTTAAACGTACAGAAGTACCAATAGCCCCCCCCCCCCCCTCTTCATAATCATAATAAATGCAGTGATAAATTTTGTATGGGATACTAAACGAAAACAATTCATTTTCGTTGGCAATGGCATATTAAACACAAGAGAAACTGACAAAATAATGTTAAAAAAAGAAGACATGATAAATGTGTAAATAAATAAAGTTCTCACTTCCGACTTTCTTCAACGAAAAATTATGTACCATTTTTATACCCATCAAGTCCAGCACATTGTTTAACGACCTACACATTATATGTTTTGTTATGTAATGTAAAATTTTATTATATTACAGTTTCATATTGTTATACCTATGCTTTGCTAACATTTTTTGTACATATATGTAAATAATTTTTGGTCCTTTTCGATCTCTGTCTTCTTTTTTTTTGGTTTTTTTACATTCTATGTATTCAAAATTATTCAAAAAAAAAATAAACATTAGTCTTGATATTTCATTTATCCTATATATATATATGTATATATATATATATATATATATATATATATATATGCAAGTTATAATGAATACATTAAATTTTTTATCGGCACAGTTCACACCGTTAAACGTTGTTACTCTTTGGCACGTATCTGACATTTTGAGTAAAAACTTTTTATTTTTCTTTTCACGTCCCTCTTTACCATTCTCCGATATTGAACGAGAAAAATATTGTGTTACAACACTGCGTTTAAATTTTCATTTTTTTGAAATTATTTGTCAAAAGAATGTTGTCATCTTTAAATGAAGATGACTTCAATTTTAAAAAGTACGTAATATTTTACTCAAACTATTTTTGTGCAAGTTTTAAATAAATTATTCTTATTCACAAAAAATATAAAATGTCACTTGTTAAATAACTATATGCTGTAAGATTAAGAATACACGGCATATAATGTAATTTCAAATGTTTATTTACAAGGGTAGTAGTATATAATTTATTACCGACCGCATTGCTTACAATAAGAGAGATTCTGTGATGGCAGCAAATTTCGGATATCGAGTTATCGGTGGAAACGCAATTCTTAATGGTGAGGAAGCGTAAATAAATTACTTCTGAAGAGATGTCAGTTTATCTGTCTATCGGTCTGTAATACTTTCGCCAAATTAAACAATACATATTGCGGTCATTTACGTGCTGATCACATCAAATTTTTTTTTGGTACGTTAATGTTTCTTACAAACACACTATGAAATTGTCACTTACACTATAATAAATTACACTATAAACTTCATTCACGTGACGTGTTCTTTATAACATTTTTAAGTTTATAAAATTAAGTTTAGAAGATTCTTAAAATTTCTGGCATAATAATTACTTTGAAGAAGTTTTAGATTTTTTTTTAATTTTTTTTTTTGCATATTTTTAGGCAACACCTTACTTATTCTTCCTTTAACAAAAGTACTTTAAATAGAATTTTGCACTTGTGTCATACACAAAGTTAAGTCTACAAAATTTTAGATTTTTATAGCTAATAAAGGTAAATTATGCCAATTTTTTCTACATTTTATTTTCTTTCCGATAAAGAATCTACAGGGAATAAATGCAGTGTGGGCTTTATCATTATACACATAAGATTGAATTATTATAAATATAAGGTTCAATACTTGATTTTCTGGTAATGTTATGGAGGGTCATTTTATTTGATTGTAACGCATGAAGGGTTAATTTTTTAATTTTTTTCTAATTTATTTCAGAATAATTAAAGAAACATTCATTTTAATTTGAAAATTCTTTCAAAGTTTCTAGAAATTTTTTGATGTGCGGTATTATTAAAATATGTACACACATATCGGGTAAAATTCTGTATTATTAAATTTTTTTTAAAATGTGAAAGGTCGAAATTTCTTGATAATGAAAAAAATCATGGAAGCCATTATTAATTATAAAATTTTGGAATTTTCGAAAAGAATATGAAAAATATTTTAATAATAACAATGAGCGTAGAGCTTTATGATTTGCGTAATCCCAATAAACTTTCTGATCCGCAGTCACCAAAAAAGTTCTCTTATATTCCCAAGCAACTTTGATGTTTCGAATTTTTCGAAATTTTTATATTCAAGCTTTCATTCAGACCACAAATATCTTCATGGCACTTCTAAACTGGGTAATTAAATCAATATGGTAGCAAAAGAGGAAAGTGATTAAACCATTGTACTGCGTATTGATTTCTTTCTGTATTGTTGAAAAAGACTATAAGGAGGACGCGAAATTAAATTTTTTCTTATTGAATAACTTTTCAATAAATCATGAAACTTTTTCAATATTCTTTTTTTTTCTATTTTTTTACTCTTTATTTTAACATTTTTTCTATGGCTAAAAGATGGGGCTACCAAACACAAAAAGAAATTACTTTGTTTTTTTTCTGTTGTGTTTCTCTGAATTAAATTATGTTCCTGAAAAAATTAAAAAAATAAAAAATTGTGTATACATTGGTAAATTTTTCATTGGAAAATGTAATGGAAAACTTCAATTATTTGAACTTTTTCATTTTACATCACAGATAAGTAAATTAAAAGTATTCTGTCGGGGTCTGTACAAGATAATATATTGAAGATGGTGCTTTGAGAGCTCATTTTAATAATCGCACGTTATGTGAAAAATTTGTAAATGGCAGAAAATCTAAGTTGGAAAGAAGCTAAGTGGGTAGAGTTGCTTAATGCAACCAATCATTTTTTCCATAGCGATCTTCTTACTGAAATAGTTCTCGTCCAATATTGAGCAATGTTGTTTGAATATTTCCAAAATCAATGAAGTTATTTTAGAAATTATATTATGGCATATTGGCAGCTTATATTTCCCAGAATGGTAGTGTAATTGCTTAATTAATTTATGCCCAATTTCAACATTCATCATCAGCATTAAATCAAAATTATGAATAGATTTTAAGATATTACCGAATGACTTTTGGTCATTCCCCTTAAAATTAATGGCTATAATGCGAAAAACTGCCTTGGTCGGTATGAATTTAAAAATGATACGGACATTTGCTTTTATAACACATTTGTGAAAATTTGAATAGACGGGCGGACAAAAATGCACAAGCCGATTCAGCATGTTGTCGGTGAAAAAAGTAGATATTCCTTAAATTCCTTTCTCACTTTGAATGTAAAAATTATTGAAATTTTTTTTTAATTTTGAATTGTCAAAATTATTTTAAAATTTTTAATTGTCAAAATTTTTTAATTACAACTTGTCTTCCGATATTTTCAAATCAAATTTCAGTTTCAAATTAATTTAATAGTGTGTATATTTTCCATCTGACTTTGTCGTTTAAAATCGATAGTTTTGATATGTTAATGCTCAGTCTATAATTATGCCCTACTTTGACATTCCAAAGTGCAAATTTTTTATACGCGATGAAGTTGTCATTCATAATAAGCCACATGATTTTTGGATTATTATACATGGAAATGTTTTAGATTTAACATCATTTATCATTTCTAAATTAAGAAACAATACCTGGAACATAACAATGAATTATTTATTGGCTTTTGGTGGAAAAGATTTGAGTAAATATTTTCATAAAAATCTTTTACCAAAAACAGAAATTTCAATAAATACTGGCCAACCAAGAGTACTTTTCCCACCGATTACTGAAAGTATAACAGGAAAGTCCCATAAAATTTGGAGTATAGATTCAAAATATCATATTGGCAAAATAACAATAATGGAAAGATCAATACGAATTATAAATACTTTAACTGGGAAAATTCATTGTATTGTAGTGTGTGAAGAAGATAAAATTTATGATATCATGAAAAAATATAAAAAATATAACAGTCATTGTGGTAGTTATATTTGGAGAAAAAATTCTAAAAATTGTTCAATTTCGGGGCGTTTAAATTTAAATTTTACTTTGACGGAAAATGGAATATTACCAGAAAAACATGATATAAAACCACCATCAATTTGGTTATTTTATTCAGATGATTTAACAGAAGGATGAAATAATACTGGTTTTTTTTTCGTCTTGGTAAATAAATCAATGATTGATGTTAGACATAAAATCTTAATTTTTATTTGAATTTGATTTTTTTTTATTGCAAATTTTTATTTTTTTTGTGGGAAATCGTGTCTATATTAGAAGGTCTTAGAGGACCGGCCTCCCCTAAAGTGTTCAATAATGGGTAAAATTATTTGTCATTCATCTTAGGATTTAAAATATTTTATTTGTTAAACTTGAAATGACTTGATCATTACCGAATTCAATATATGTATCAGATTCCTGCATAAGGACATGTAAAAATTAAGACAAAATTTTTGTATATAACAATGGTAATTGAACCTAAAATCTATGCTGCACTATTTAAATTGGGTAAGATTTAGTTTAACATTTATATATCAAAATTCTAGGCGATTATCGTATACAGTTTACACGTTATCAACATGTTTGCATGTAAGCCAAATTATTTTGCTAAATATATAAAAACCAAACCTTCTAAATGAATTATGCTATTGATGTCCAATCAAAATGCCATTTAATAATCGGGCCAGTTTTCTATTACGTGTGACATTCTTCTATAAAATCCTGAACTTGGTTTGAAGTTATTATGAGTAGAGTACAAGTCTAGTTCGCAATATCGAAACAATTTGTTCATATAACCATAGAAAATAATTGGAAACACACATATGACTTTCATCTGCAGGATTTTTTTAATATTCATATTAGTTCCGTAATTTTTATTATAGATTTCATCCAACTCATATTTCAATATGTGATAAAAAAACCTCAATAGTTTTTAAAATAATTGACTATTTCATTGCCTTATAAAAAGCAAAACATTACACTCACACATTAATTTTTCTATATAAAACAGTTAATAATTTCCTACTTCTAAAAATAACACTCTTATTTTTATAACACAAAATATACAAGCTTTTAATACTATAAACACTATTAAAATATAGTTTCACATACATTTCACAATATGCACATATACGGCTATGTATGTATGAATGTATGTGTATTTGTGGTTTCTATTTTGCCGGTTTTATAAATTGCTCAAATCAGATAATTGACACTTAATTCTATAATAAATTTATATTAGCAATACATAAAAGTCTTAAATGAATTAATCAAAGCAAAAAGATAAATTTTTTTATATCTGTTATATTATCTACGTATGTATTGGTTTGAATGTGTGTTGGTACAAGTCTGTCATATATTGAAAATATTTATTTTGAAAGAAAGAAACGTGAAGTTAATGGTGTCATCTCTGAGATACTTATACGAATTAAGGCTGAATTTGCTCGGTCGTGAATTTTAAGTGTCGGTCGTTTTGCATAGAACAATAGCCGACCATAGTTGAGCGCAATGCCGATTTTTCGGTGCGTAGTTGTTTAATTTTATCTTTCAGTGACATAAAAGATAGTTAGTTTCCATTTAAAAATTTTGTTGTCTGCGTAATCAGAAGTTCGACTTTTAGAAGTTCTATATAAAACATTTCTAATCTTCACGACACCTATGAACCACCATTTGCTGTCTGGCTGCCATATGCTATAGTTCATATAGGACATTTCAACCAAATTTTTGGAGAAAAGTGGTTTGTGCAAGATTTTAACATTGGGGTCGATTAAACAAAGGTTCTGGTACTAACTGTTATAAAAAGCTTGTGTCAACTAGTTAGACTTAGCTTTATTGGCTTTTGAATTAAATGAGTATTAAATTGTCGATGTAGTGGTAAATATAATTTTATCGGCTAAAACTTCGACGGACAGTTGAGAGTATATTATAAATAAATGCGTGCCTATAAATTTCAGATCATTATTTTCCAGTGTTACAAATAGAACGGGAAATTTATATTACGTTACGCATATACGTTCTTTTATACGGTAATAAAAAAGACAACTTTAATATTTTTATTTTATAAATTACAACCTATAATAATAAATTAATTATTAATATAAATGTCATTCAATATTTAATTGTCATATTAAAAAAATTATGGTTCATTTGAAAAATGATATTTAATTAAGACAGAATGTAATTTTTATTGAAAAATTCCCCGATTAAATTGAGTTATACGATAAAAAGTTGTAGTTTAAAGTCTTTATAAGTTTAAAGACTTTTTTTCATTATATTCTTACACTATGGTTACAGCTGGGTATTTAAATTTATTATAGAATAAAGATTAATCAAATTGTATTTCTAAGCTTTGAATGTTGTTCTTTTTTTAAATATTACAGTACAGAGTAAGGTAAAATATCTACATATTAAAATTACATGCAACTGAGATCGGATCACATTAATTTCTAAATAAATTCAATGCGATGTCTATATAACAGTTTGGATATTGTTTCTATTAAGCAAAAGTGTCTGAAAATTTTTGTTTTTTTATATTATAACTTTTGGGATCAAAGTACATTCTGATATTTGAATTTGCGGCAAGAAATTTTATGATTAACAAAATTTTTCAGAATTGGAATGAGAATAAGTGGTAACTGCTAATCGCACTCAATTTGAATTCAAAGAAAAGGAAAGATTAAATGGGTTCTATGGGAGCTATACTCAAATTTCAAATTAAGGGACGAATAATATCTGTTCCGATCACTATTCGCGTTCAGGTAGCAAAATATTTTAAATAAAATTTAATTTTCACTTATATAAAGCAATATGAAATTTATCAGGGTTTTACTGTATACAGCATAAAATATACAAATAATGAAAAATGATTGTTTGTATTCAATAATTAATTACATATTTACTTACATAAATATTTTTATATTTTAATTGGATCTGATTGAATGCATGTAATATAAAATATTGTAAATTGAACAAAATAATAAAGTTGAAAAATAAAAATTATAATTAAAGGTTAAAGATTATAAAAATCTAGTCTACAATTATTGCAGATCTCTTGTGTATATGTACATATATATATAAATTACTTGTGACAAGGTAATAAAGGTACCCATTTAGAAAGTCATGTGCTTGAACTTTTATTAATTGTACTTTGTTCAATCAAGGTTATTGATCTCATTCTTTTATAGTATTTATTTGCAACAGTAAATATTTTTCTTCAACATCGTCATCAAGTTAATAATAGCATGTAAGTTGCTTAATGACATACAACAAAGAATTTTTTAATACGTTTTAATTTGGCATTTATATTGAATAATAATCCGATTTGAATCCGTGTTTCTCAATCCACCTTTCGGTGTCAACACATTTTATTTAGTTAATTAATTTACGTTCTTACTTTTTGTCAGAATAGAAATTTCAAATTAAAGAAATTGCATACAACAAAACAGTAGATGTGTGTGTTTTGACGGTACTAAACTGACTAATATGCAAAACTTTCTTTATTTAAAACTCTCTTTAGATAAGAAGCGATCGTGTTGCGAAAAAACTTCCATTTTTTAGCTACATGGTACTTATTTCATGTTTAATTGTTATGATGATTCCATGTTTGTCAATTAAATATTCGACTTGACATTAAGCAACTAATAAATTGGAGCTTGTCGTACGAATGCGCTTTACTGAACCTTTTGCTTATGAAGCAATTGCAAATTAATTGAAAAACTGAATTTTAGTTATTATTCACTGAAATTTTATTAGAAACCTGATACGGTTCTAAAAGCTCAATTTAATTTCCAAATTTTATTTTAGTGAATGACTGAACTTACATGCAACTTCTTTTAAATGTTAACAATAATATTGAAAATTTTTTACTAAAAAAATTATTTTTCAATTTATTTTCAGACATAAATTCTTCCAAAACATCGAGTGAAAAAACAATATAACAGATTACAAGTGACAAGAAAAAGAAAACAAAAAATGTCTTTTACAACAAATTTTCTTAATGAAACTGAGAAACTTTTAAATGAAACGTTTCTCGGTACAAATAACAGTAATTTTAATTATTATTATCAAAATAATTTGAATAATATTAATGGTAATTATAAAAAATTTAATACAACAACAACAACAACGTTAAAATTTCCTTTATTATCAACTACAAAAAATTCCAATACAATTTCTAATAATTATTTATTATCAGGTCATTATGATTTCACTACAACAACACAAAATCTAATTACAAATATAACAAATTTTTTACTTGCAACAACATCCGAAGCATTAATATCAAATAACAATAATAATTATAATAACAATAACATTTATGCCAATACAAAAATATTAGGTACAACAAATTTAACATCAATTAATTCATTATTATTAAATAATAATGATAATAATAATGATAATATTAATAGAAATGATAATTATACAAATTTAATATTTAATGAAATGGATTATGATGAAAATTCACCAATAAGATTAGAACATGCACCACAATTATCAAAATCAGCAATAATTAGATGTGTTGTATTATCAGCTATGGCAATTGTATCATTATTAGGTAATACAGCAACAATGTGGAATATATATAAAACACGTATGACAAAACGACCATCAAGACATAATTGGAGTGCTATTTATTCATTAATATTTCATTTATCAATTGCTGATGTTCTTGTTACCGGTTTTTGTATAATTGGTGAAGCAGCATGGTGTTATACAGTACAATGGATGGCAAATGAATTTGCATGTAAAAGTGTTAAATTTTTTCAAATGTTTAGTTTATATTTGTCAACATATGTATTAGTATTAATTGGTGTCGATAGATGGATTGCTGTTAAATATCCAATGAAATCATTAAATATGGCAAAACGTTGTTATAGATTATTAGGTGGAGCTTATATATTATCATTTGTATTAAGTATACCGCAGGTAAGTTGAAAAATTTTTAATTTAAAAAACATTTATTATACTCGTATATATGTACAATGTAAATAAGCATGTTGTTGAATAAATTTTCAAAGAATACTAATTTCCTTAAACAGTTACAGTTAAATAAAATATTCAGAGCATATTCTTTTTTTTACTCTTGCTCTTGAATAACATTATTTTTAATATAGCAGAGTTTTCTCTGCAATCTTCAATTTAAAATTATTTAAAAAATGAGAAAAGAGAAAATTCTCCGCCGGAAATTTTTCTTAAGGGTAAACAATTTTTCTATATTGTTGATTTTAAACCCTTTCTTTTTGATCTTTGCTTTTATTTTTCTTATTATTTATTTTTTTAGTCGTATACATCTAGATTATTGTATCCCTAAGCAACAGATTTTTAGAAATTATTATACCAAATATAGTTTTGAATATAATTGTTGCGTTCTATAGTAACTTTGCACGTAAATGAGGATAAGGATATTATGCCTTGTTAAAGGACAATAATTTTCTTATAACTATAAGAAATATTTAGATTTCGTGTATAACTTTTAGAAAATTCTTTATAGCTTCCATACCTTTATAATATAATGATAAATTATTTAAAATAATTTTTGCTATGATTTCATAAGAAATGAAAATGAAATGAAAGAATGCGTGTGGGCTCGTATTAAATGGCAGCATCCTTTTGTTTTTTTTGAAGTCATTAAAAAAGAAAATTCATTTAACAAATTGAAATAAAAAAAAATGATTACCATTTCAGGATTCTTCTTAAGAATGCCAATCTAACACTATACCATAATTTGATATGATGTAGAAATTGATATACTGGAACGTGTAACATTTTATATTGTTAAACAGGAAATAATTAATGATAAAGTTTGAGTGAAATTAATATGTAACCATTTTTTTTTTTCTTGAAATGTCATAGAAACGAGAAATAAATATTGTTATATAATCGTATATATTATTGCTATTAGGTAATTTGAATTGAAATGGAAGTGTGTATTTAAAGAACACGTGTTATGTAGAAATGATATATGGAAGAGATTCAAACTGTGTATGATAATGGAAACTATGAAATTGTGAAAAAAAATTGAGATATTTAAATTCTTATTTGCAATAATGACAACATTGCAATGACCAGATGATCTCTGAAATGAACCATTACTTCGAAGCGGTCTTTATAAACTGTTCAGGCCGGGTTTCTCTTAAGAAAGTGAAGGTTTTGGAAGTCTTACATTTTAATAATTTAAAGAAATTGCTTATTTTATTGGCACAAATTTTTTTCTATCTTCTTCATCTTCTGTGTTGCTGCTTTCAATTAAAATTTCAATTTTCGACTTTTATTTACCGAATCTGTAGGCTTTTCAAAATTTCTACAAAAATAAGAAAATAACGGTAAAAGTGTTTTCAAATAGCGGTAAATACTAAAAAACTGTAATTCGCCATAATTAGGCGAATTCGATCATTATGTGCATTCTCTCGTTAATTCTTATTTTTACTTTTATCCTAAAAGTATGCAAGCATTAGTGAAAATTATTTAAGAAAATATCTATGAAATTTAGGGTTTCCTATTTCCATGAGACCAGAATTCGAATTAAGAACGATTGCAAATCAATATGGCATAGTTAAGGTCGGGAATTCGACGACACTCTGTTGTATATGGCAAACGTAAAATATATTTTTTCGCCTTAAAGTTCTTTCTGGGTTGAAGAATCCCTTTATCTACCCATAAAATGAAATAAAAATGATAAATTTATGCAGAAACAAAATTATTTTTAACATTTTATTTTTATTTTTTAAACATTTTATTTGACAATTTTAAATCATTAAATATTTAAATATGCTTAGTGATAAATGATAATCCAAAATTATATGAAATATATACGAATATATTTTAGATATACACAAAATTGTGTAACTGTGTTTAGATAACATTAATAACCCTCGCCCCCTTTCGCTCAAGATATTTTCAACAATTTTTCACCCATAAATTTTAATATTAAATCTTCTCCTAATGATTTGCATTTCTCTTCAATCTTGATAGAAGAAAGAGCATCTTTTTAGAATAGAAAATTATATCATTCATATCAAAGAGTGTTTGTGTGCGAATGTATATAAGCTAAACTTTTATACATACATAATATGGGTATGACTTATACTTACATTATATCTTTACGTGAACGGTATTCCTTGTTATGTTATATCAAATTTTAGATTGCTTTAGAGAATTGTTGGAAGAATTAAATTAATGCATGTTTGTATGTATGTGCCTTTCATATTCAAATTAAATTCTATACAATCTTACAATATATTTCTTGATCTTTTCAAGAAAAATAATTTAAATTTAATATTTCTTTTGGAGCATTTCTGGATTTATGATTTCTTCAATTAATGTTTAACTATTAAATTAGAAAAAACATGAATAATTTCAAAATCATAATGATTTTTATTACATGCTAAACTCTTAATGATTATCACAATATTGTACCAATAATTTAACACTTATGATAACGTTGATGAAATTACTTTCCATAATAATGAAGCATATAGTATTTTTAGTCTTCCTCTTCCAAACAAAGACGGCACACCTCGTCGTCCGCCTTTACCTATTCTTTTCAGATGAACCATCAATGTCCAGTGAGTACAATTTCTGCCAACATTTGTTACAATTGGTCGAATAATGGTAGTGTACATCCAGGGGACCATTTTAGGTCTAAGACCACCTGACGCCTAATCCTCGCCGAAGCTCTTAGAGCCCGGGTGGGTCTATCGATGACTTCCCAAAGGTGAGGCCTCCAGCTCAGACGTTGATTTAGCTCTCAAATACTCGATTAGGATCGCTCTCAAATACTTGACCTCTTGGTCTTGGGACCCTCATTTATTCTGCCACCCGCACGAAGATTAAATTTCCACCGTTTAGTAAATGGCACAATAACTCTCTTACTAGGGTTAATACCAAAGCTCTCGGCTTATGTGCGGTCCTGGATGATGTTCAGGGCTTCTGCTACGCTGGCCCTTCATCATCGCCGTAACCTTGAGCATTATACTAACTATCGGACAGCTTGTACTGTAGGCCATTCATTACCATGCATCAAAGCAGACGAGACAAGGCTCCCCACTGTGGACTGCATGCATGGCCCGAATGGTGGTGCTAACACCTCCCATTTCTCGATCCACTTCCGACTGACCTTCGATGCGACTACCAAGTGAAATCGAAATGAATATTTATATTTGTAGCTGTAAATATTTGTGTTAGGAACGGCATCAGCTTACAAATACAACTTTCAAACTACGTTCTTTTCTTTAAAGAAATCAAGTCCTAATATAATGAATGTGTAGAGAACCTACAAATATGTTGTGTTAAGTACCCTTTAAATTATATTTTTTTCAATTTTCGACACCATAGGCTATCAAGGTTAAGTTAATCATTTTTAAATTTTAAATTTTGATAACAAAAACAAATTAATTTTATAAACAATAATTAATTATTGTTGAATAAATTTTAAAATTAAATTCAAAAACAAAACCATTGTTAATATTTAATGAATTAAATGAAGCACTAATAAGAGGTGGTACCACACTGTTGAATAATTTCTAGTACAAACTGGTGGAATATTTTTTTAATTTATGATTAATTCACGTTAAAATGATTTATTTGATTAGATTCGAAGAGATTCCAGTCATAATTTTGCAAATCGATTTTAGAAAAATGTTTTGCGAATATTTAAAAATTTTTAAATTTAATAAGGGTAAAGCGAAACATTCAAGAATAAGTCAATAAATCTAATTCAAGGAATTTCTTTACATTTCTGCTCCGGTCAATTCCAAAAAAAAAAATTATGATATATGAAATTGTCAGGGAACCCCGATTTTCTCGTAAGACTATTCAAAATATTGAGAAAATCATCCTCTAATTGCGTAAACGCATAGATCATAACCTAAAATTATCTATAGCTTTACCCTGGCGGATTTAAGCCTGCTACGCGAGAATAGAGCAAACACAACAATGTACTGACATACTTATATGATCTACAAAAGCGTTCATAATTTTTTATTTTTAAAACTAAAAGAACATCGAAATATTATTGGTTGTGCAGATCTTTTGCTTTATTAATACAAGTACGAAAAAATTTTATTAAAACTGTAATAATTTAAATCAAACGTTATAAAAAAGCAAAAAAAATAAATTAAATTCATAAAAACAAGAAAAAAAAAAGAAAATCATTTGTCATTATTAGAATAGCAATGATGTTACCATCTGTCATCTAGGATGTCAAAGAACATGATAAAAGTAATAAACAAAAAAATCCTTAAACCACTAAAGAAAAAATTATTGTATTTTGTGTAAAAAAAATCTCACAACAGAGTCCTTGTTCAAAAAAAAAAAAATTTTTTTTTTCGAGGACACAAAAAATAAAAAAAAAAAAGAAAGAAAAATTAAATTTTCATTTTCTTCTCTTCTCATAATTTTATTAAATTTTTATCAAATGATTTAATATTTTTCCGAAAGCGTTGAATAAAAAGATGAATTCATTAAAGAAAGCAACAAGGAATTTTTGATTTTAAAGGTTTTCTTCTTATAATTTTAATTGTTGACCCTATTGAAAATTAAATTTTGTTTTTTTTTATTCGAAATTTTACTGAAGCATAAGAATCAGAATGATTTAATGAGACTGATTCATGCCTGGTTAATGATTTAATGTAATTTATGAAAAATTGCATACTTTTAGGATAGAAAATCAAAAGAGTCAATTTATTAATATTAATTATATTCCAAACTGGGCTGCGGGTTATTCTTAAAAATAATTAAAATTCTGCATTTTAATAATTAAATATTGTCCTAATGATTAAGACCCGGGAGTTGCCATAATAAGAAATAATTATCATTTAAATCTTAATAAATTTAACCAAAAATATTTAAATTAAAATTTTTATTATTCTTGTTATAAAAAGGAAAAATTTTTAATAAATATTTTTTTATATTATCAATTTCTCATT